TGTTATGGACAAAGATTTGAATCACACAGACTTAATGTATGAATCAGAATGAAGTTTTTTTTAACCAATAAACGGCCGGGCGTATCATTTTTATTGTGAATGTGTTGTAATAATGACAGTGATAACAGTAATGACGCGTTCAATAGAATCGGTTCCAATTAAGCGTATAGCTCTTGCTTCTACAATTGAAGACAATTCTTGACTAGTTCACCACTGACATATTTAAGATTGATATTTTGTTTGTAAATTGGTATAAATATGTATCCAAAATATTTGTGCAGTACGAGAAGCAAAAGATAATGTTCCAAGATATTTTTGTGTAAAAGGTAACTGATGATTTACATACCTCTACAGGTTCCCCCTATTGTTATGTTAATTGTTCACCATGCCTCCATAAAAAAATATTGAATACTTTGAATAGTCTTAAATGACAGTAATCGATTTTCTTTGCTTATCTTTTGTAGCAAAAACTGATTTTGATTTGAGAGCTTGCGCGAAAAAGTTCAGATGACAGGGATGCACTGGTGCTATTCAACGCGCCAACTGTGTTCTTTTTCTTTTTTCATAGCTTTATTTCAATTCAATTCAATAGGCCATTTTCGTAATGTAAACAAATTTAATGCATATGCCCATACGTCTTTGTGAAGTGCCTCAATACAAATTATTTCATTCACCTGATAAGAATAATAGTATTTCAATAGACAGAATTCGAACTGCATACATTAGTTGTTGCCAGGTGGGACAAACATTATGGCTTGACCTACCTAGCAACACTTAATATATGCAGATTGCATTCTGATTACTGAAATACTATTATTCTTATCAGGTGAATGAAATAATTTGTATTGAGGCGCTTCACACAGACCTATGCATTACATTTGGTTACATTACGAAAATAGCCTATTAAATTATGTTATTTTCAAATCATAACAAATATTACAAGTAATAAATATGGAATAAATAATAGGCCAATATCTTTAAGAAGCAACTTGTGTTTGTACATGAGGCCCCTAGCAAGTTAATATTAAGTTAGATAGCAAAATAAATATAAAAAATACTAGATCGACCATTTACTATCATCACACACCCACAGTAACACACTAACACACAAGAGCAATACGAAAAAGAATATTACAAAATAAGGAGAATTCAGAATGAGAAAGAGAAGTAAATGAAGAGGTCGGAATGAGCTTATTGTAGCTTGTATTCTCGTTAAATTCACACAAAGTTTAGAAGGCACTGCAACAACGCAAGGGACTGCTACGTAAGTGTAACAGAACATGTTTATAAACTCGTGATGTAGAATAGTCAAACAGTCTGAAACGACTGGTTTTGTAAATATATTTTGTTTCACAGTGTTTGTTTGCTTTGTCCACACTTAGAATGTATGTGTAATATTAGTTAATATGTTTTCTTGTTGCTGTACTCTTATACCCCGAGAGAGTCGATAGAGATTGTAAATACGAATATAGTACTATGCTACTGTATGTTATCGTTGCATTTGTTTGGAGAATCCCTTATGTACTATTAGTTAACTTTTCAAAATGACTGTATATGCAAATGTGCCGTGCTCAGTGAATATAAGTTCTTTTTTTTGTATAGGAACGCGCTATGCCCTTTGTCATTTTAGTAGTATTTCCTATTTTTTTAATACGAAAGAGGGAAAGGGAATACATATGCTATCTTTACTGAAAAGAGCAACCTGATTTCACTTTTCTTTTTCCTTTTTTCTCCTGATTCCTGAACCTGATTTTACGTTATTGATCTTTAAAATGCAGTGCGTGGTATATTTTTTTTCTCTGAATATATACAATAAATTGTAAATAACATAATTTTGTTTAGCAGTTATGAACAGGGACTTTATATATTTGTATTTGGCTTTTCCATTCTATTCCACCTGCAGCATGTTAGAATAGTGTACAGACCTTACTTGATGTTTGTTCATTTGTTTTTTGTACTGATAACATCGTATAAGGAATTGAAATTACATAGCAACTGCATTGTTTCTGTTAGAACTGAGCGCACTCATAGACTTTTACTCTTGTGAATTTGTGTATTTCAACATTTTAGTATGCCATAATTGCTTCGCTTTGCAGGTATTCAGCGCTCTCTCGCAAATCATGTTCATGTAGAGAAGTCTAAAAAGACCAAACTATGCAGAACACAAAACAGGATCATCACTATTTACTAGAATTGTTAAAATTCTATAAATCAAAACTAAAATTAAAGCTAAAAGCAAGAGGCCAGGAAATGTATTTTCACATTTCATATGGCTAATGTATCTTAAAGTCACATTCTTATCTTCTTTCCTGATCTCGCTAACAAATACGAACCAAACGTTTTATAAGATTATTGGATTTGATTTGAAAATTTGTATACATTTGAACCTCGAGAACTATAATATTCAAAGGAATATCTGTGCATATGTTCAGAGGATAGCCACTGAAAGCTAACAAACACTGGTAATTTATTACCAATAGGCTCGTGGGAACAGTGGCGGATCCAGGGGGGCCGGGGGGCCCGGGCCCCCCCCCCCCCCCTTTAAAAAAAAATCATGTAAAATCACGTGATTTTTACCTTTTTGGGGGGTTGGGCCCCCCCTGGCGCTCAAGGGGGGGGGGGGGTGCAAATTGAAAAAATTTCGAGGACCACCCCCCCCCCCCCCCCCCCCCCCACACACACACTGAGCGACTTTTCGGCCGGCGCGATTTTCAATTTTCGGGAGCAAAAAAAAAAAAAAAATTGTGCTCACTAAAAAAAAAAAAAAAAAAAAAGAAAGTTGGGCCCCCTCCCCTAAGAAATCCTGGATCCGCGCCTGCGTGGGAAAAATGTTAACAAACGATAGCAAATATATTTAACTGTTTGGAAGTGATTTTCAATATTATTTACGAATAATAAAGCCATTAATATATAAACTTCCTATATCCATTTCGACTTTGCTCTCACGTAAGGCAAAGTAAATTTAATAATTAAAAACCCGCAAGCCTACTGTATAAGTAAAATATATAATTATTGTATCTTGATAATGAATATTTTCTTGCAAAATAAAGATGATTATAATCATATCATTTTGAGAGGAATATTATTCCTCAAGTTTTTACGCAACACTATTGATTTTTCAGCAAACGGAAGTTATCGTGATGAGAGGCGATCGGGATTGACATTTTAAAGCTTATTTAATAAATGCAATTCATCCCAATGGGACTTATCCGTTGGTGAAAAATGATTTGGCAAATATATAAACAGACAGAGTGAAAGAAAGAGGAAGACGGGAGAGGAAGAGGAATAGAGAGAGAGAGAGAGAGAGAGAGAATAAAAGAGAGAAAGAATAGGAGAAAGAATAGGAAAGATAGAGAGAGGGGAGAGACAGTGAGAGAGAGAGAGAGAGAGAGAGAGAGAGAGAGAGAGAATAGAAGAGAGAAAGAATAGGAGAAAGAATAGGAAAGATAGAGAGAGGGAGAGATAGTGAGAGAGAGAGAGAGAGAGAGAGAGAGAGAGAGGGGAGAGACAGTGAGAGAGAGAGAGAGAGAGAAAGAGATTACGATATACAATGTCATATATGTGCATCCGGGTAAAGAAGATTATAGAGACCATCCAGGCCCCCGTTTGATGCTTTCCAGGCAGGGGATCGATGAATTTCGATGTTTTGAAACCTTTCGCTACCCAATCGAAATGGGTGGGGACCATGGGCGTAAATCTGTCATTGATACCTATTGTTCAGGGGGGGTGATCTATTCATTCATTCCCCCCCCCCTGAACAATAGGTATTACGTAAGGATTTATGCCCATGGTGGGGACTAGTGGTGATCGGGGCCCATGTTCCCACCCCTGTCCCCAAAGGAGAATCACGGAAGAACAAGTTACGGGCTGATGGCCTTTTAGTTTTTCTTGTCAGAAAAAAAGAATGTATAACCTAAAAGGGATACCAGAAACCTATTGAACTCTTTCTTTCCTAATGATAATGTAGTTACCAAAACGATATCCCAAAGGCTATTTGCATTTTAATAAAAGGTTATCATTCAATCATTTATTTCTCACAAAATGTAATAACGTGTCCTCTTGATCCATTCAGTTTTGCTCCTTTTACGCTACAAATTATTCTTTGTAAATGAAATCATGGTAATTAAATATACATGTATTATAATATTGTTCGGTAATAACAAGAAAGGGGATGTTGAATTAATTGGGCTTTAATCCCTGAATCCTTATTTATATTTCTTTTGCCAATTAAAGTTATCATTATCTGGATTACCCCTGATTGTATGAAGAACTTAATATTTACTATAATATTCCAACATTTGTAAATACTTATTGACATTTATCACATTTGCTACCTAATCTGTAAACTACGTACTATGCTGATTTTTAAATGGGTTGTATATTTGTATATTTTTAGTGGGTTGTATACTTTTACGTTTCCTGCCCTGCGTGGACCGTTAATCAAGTCCTGTGTTTTTCTTATTATGCTCTCCTTTTCCGTGTATGCCTTTGTCATAATGTCTCTGTTCCTTTATTGCTGAAGAATTAATAATGTGATATACCAACACAAACTATGTCATGTTTTGTTCAAAGAATTTCTTTGTACGAGATGGGAGGGGGGAGGAGGGGGTAACAAAAGGAGTGATATAATTCAATTTAATTCAATTTAATAAAGGTTTATTCGAACATCTTTCTCAGTACAAAGACTGAATAATACATGTTTTACAAAGATTAAAATACATTATAAATTCATATTGCACTGGTTGATAAATCATATTAAAATATATACAAAATTACATAAAATACTTTAAACTGATGAAATTACAGGTAATGATATGAATTTTCCACTCGATAATGATAACATAGAAACAAAAATAGCAACAACAATAACAGCAACTGTAGCAGAAGCAAAAACAACAACAACAACAACAACAACAACAACACCAACTACAAAAATAACAAAAAGCGTAGCCGCTTCTATATTTCATTTTTATTTTGTCCATTTAATTCTACCATTTGACTGAAAAAGAGGGAGGAGGATCACTCAAAGTCAAAACAGAGAAGAAGACGGTTTGCATAATTATTGATCTTTTAATATTGTGATCGGGATATATAACCAATGCTTTGCTTTAAAATAGCGTATTCATCATGACTACTTTCATGCAAATGCTGTGCAAGATTCGATCTCCAAGACTAAACGTCTTCCGTCCTTGCTCGTCCTCGAAGTTCCAGAAAACACCAACCGCGCCATGGCAATGTACACGGTTCCGCACTTGCTCCAGTGCGGCATCAAAATCTTCAGAAACACCATTCGTTCCCTTGGAAGGAGATGTTGATACAGGACATGTGGATTTCCAGACTAATTTTGTACACAATTATCAGTTAAATGAACAACTTCAGGAAATTCTAGGCATTGTGCATGCTGGAGGTGGAGAAAAATCTATGAAAAAACACACAGAGTTGAACAAGAAAATATTTGTGAGAGACAGATTAAGACTTCTTTTGGATGACTACGATAATGAATTCCTTGAACTCTCTTCTTTAGCTGGGTGGGATATGGAGTACGGGAGAATTCCAGCTGCAAGCAACGTTTGTGGTAATATCTCTACTGTTTATTGTCACTCACTCACTGATTTAACCCTTTTTAAGCTTGCACTTTAAGTTTTTTTTGAGATATCTGTTAAGTATAGATCTAGTCGAGACATTAAAATGCTCTTCTTCTTGCACTGAACACTCAACACTTGACAAGCATAAGATATGACAATACAATAGTATGCCAATGGCGGTCTGTTTTTATTAAAAACAATTTTATTTTTTATGTTAGATAAAGGATATTAATTGCCATGAATATTAAATGGCATAGAGAAAATCGAACTTGGGACAAGTCGTAGGTTAATGACTGCAAAGCTAGCTGCGCTCGCATAGACCTCTAGAATCTAGAGATATCTGCGCAAGCACCAATAGTAAGTTTTAGTTCTGCGCAAGTTGACTTTTGTTATGACAGTTAACATTGTTTCCCTAGCATTTAAGATAAATTGTTTTCATATACGACCCCAACCTGTTCATACAGGTGTATGAATGGAAAATGAAACTAGGAGTTATAGATCTAGATTTGCAGCCTATTAAATTGCAGTTGTATTTCAATTTGGGGGTTTTAATTTTTTTAATATTTGACTTGATAAGAGGATGGAGAACAATTGAGAAATGACTAACATTATGTTTATCTTGAATATTTGTAGATCTACATTATTTGTACGACTTTATCAAAATTTGCAGGTATTGGGAAAGTGAGGGGTACATGGTGTTCGGTGTCTGCATCAGATGCCACCATCAAGGGAGGAACAAGCTATCCTATCACGGTCAAGAAGCAGCTCAGAATGCAGGAGATTTGTCAGCAGAATTCCCTTCCTGCGATCTACATCATCGACAGTGGCGGAGCATTTTTACCGTTGCAGGTGACTTGTGCCGATCAAAAAGAGCAAATAATTTGTAACATTTTTGTCCACTCTTTATTGAACACCATGAATTTTTAATATGTGTAAATTAGCAACAGATGATAACATTGGAAAACCACTCCTTTACTATTTACGTCTTTGTCCGTTTCCTAAATTTGACATGTATTTCATATTCAGATTCTATACATTTTTGTTTTAGAAAGTGTCCAATAAAAATTATTAAAATACAGTTTGCCAATGTGAAAATCCCTTTCCTAAATAACTTGCTCTTTTGATAAATCAGCTAACACTACTTTTGAATTCCTGAATAGATTGTTTGGATGTCTCTTTGCTTTATCCTTCCTTCCAGTCTGAAATTTTTCCAGATAAGAATCACGGTGGCAGGGTCTTCTACAATGAAGCAATCCTCTCAGCTCAAGGAATATCCCAGGTATGTTCTCATCAAACAAGATACTTAAATTTGTTCTATTTTGTATTAATTACATTATTTGTATGTTATTTATTTACTGGTATGTATTTTATAAGTACATGTATTTATTTACCGGTATTTATTTATTTATTTTTTTAATATTTTTTATACCGTATAATTTTTTTTTTTTTTTTTTTTTTTTTTTTTTTTGGGGGGGGGGCAATCCAATGAAAGAAAGACATTGTATTCTCTGACATTTTTGTGTATTAACCCAAACATACTCTTTTTTAGGGGCTGGGGGCAGTCCAATGAAAGAAAGTTAAGTGGAAAGACATTGTACTGTTCAGTAATTCTCTGACATTTCTGTGCATTTACTCAAACAGACTTAAAAAAAACAAGGAACGACAGAGCCTGAACTTCTGTTTTACATTTAGAATTACCGTATATAATAATATGAAAATGCATAAATCAGCTACTTTCAGTTTCATTAGAAATATCAGTTACAGTATTATCTTTTATTATCGATAGGTAAGAACTTTAAGGCACACAGATACATTTCATGATGATGTGAAAATGCTTGATTATTGAGGATCTCCTCATACTTTCTGTGCTAAATCTTAGAATACAAGTACTGTAGATCTTCTGTCATGTGTACATGTACATGTTCCAATATTTATGCTAACACTACTTCTAAGTTTCTGACATTGGAGCGAACATGTATATGCGTCGCACATTTCAGTTGGTTTTTTAAACAAAAAGATGCGTTTGACCGATCTATATTTGTATTTTCCCTACCAGGAGTTGAATTATTTGGATCAGGCATGCACTACTACATGTAGTAATTTAGACAATGCTGCATGACAGCCCCAGATATCTAGGTCCCGAGAAGAAAAATGGTGATTATTGATTGAACTGGACCCTGTCTAATAGACAGTGATAGTGATATATCATATACATGAGAGATAAGAGACTGCAAACTTGTGACTGAATGGAGGACTTGCGATTGATTATAATCAATTGCAACTCAAGACAGAGCCCAGATGCATTTATTTGTTATGATAATATAGAGAGACACACCATACTCTAGCTATAATGCCGTAACTTTCTGTTTCCGTTTCCCTTTCCAGATTGCAATAGTGTGTGGTTCTTGCACCGCTGGTGGAGCATATGTACCCACCATGGCAGATGAGGCCATCATTATGCACAAGATCGGTACCATCTTCCTGGTTATGAACCCCACTAAAGACACACTATAATCTAGCTATAATGCCATTACTTTCTGTTTCCCTTTCCAGATTGCAATAGTGTGTGGTTCTTGCACCGCTGGTGGTGCATATATGTACCGACCATGGCAGATGAGGCCATCATCATGCACAAGATCGGTACCATCTTCCTGGTTATGAACCCAACCAGGGACACACTATACTCTAGCTGTAATGCCGTAACTTTCCTTTTCCCTTTCCAGATTGCAATAGTGTGTGGTTCCTGCACCGCTGGTGGTGCATATGTACCCACCATGGCAGATGAGGCCATCATCATGCACAAGATCGGTACCATCTTCCTGGCTGGACCACCATTGGTCCATGCAGCAACGGGTGAGAGGGTGTCGGCCGAGGATCTCGGTGGAGCAACGTTACACTGCAGGTAATTAGTATGATATGACTCACAATTTTTTTAGAGAGAGCCAGAAAGTTGTGAACTCTGTGTAAAATTACAAGGCCCGTATTGTACTAGAAGTCAAACCTAGTGCTAGGTTATGGCATTTGTCCAAAATCAGGTTTAACAAGTGATGATAGCCTGAGGTCTAAGTTTCCCTTTTGTATAACCATGATTTTAGACCTAGAGTCAGGTTTAACCGAATTATTAGAATATGGACCAATGAGGACAAACCTACAGTATGTATAGTTTTGCTAAGGCCCTCAAACCTTTAGCCAGATTTCTGTGAATTTAGTAGATAAAATGACAATTTTATGTTGCAGTGTAATTTTTGTCCCCATGTGGAATATCAAAGAAATAAGAGAGGTAAAATAGCTTATGTCGCTGGCCTAGGCACATAAATCCCCTCTTACGATTGCCATGTATAAAACGAAAGGGTAGCTCAGGTTCAACAAATCAATCTCTATGATATTGTTGCACGGGTCACTAACAAGCAGATGGCCTCAAAAAGACATTCCTGTCAGATTCATTCCCAAAATTTACCAGGAGATGTTTCACAAAGACCATGATCGACCAAAGTTGGACTTGAACTATGGCAGACCATTCATGCCAGTAGTTGCTCTCACAATTGGTCTCTCAATGCTCGTCACAACTCTACAGAATTTACATTTTTTTCCTTCATTAATGAATTATAAAAAAATGTAAATTATGTAGATATATACGTCTCTTGACCAATGCCAACAAATGGTGAAAGCAAGCAGTGGCATGAATGGCCTGGCATAGTTCAAGTCAAACGTAAGTCGATCTTAGTCTTTGTGAAACACTCCCTGAAAGCATGGATGGAATTTCAACCTATCTGGCACATGTATCTTGTAATAAAAGTGGAGAAATACCAGGACATAATTTTTTTAATCCACTTAATAATAATAATAATAATAATAATAGTACATTTATAAAGCGCAGAAACTATCCAACATTAGGTATATATTCTACTGCGCTACAAGAGCTCCTGATATGCTTAGATTTACGGTACAGTTAATTAAAAAGAAGTGTTTTCAGTTTTGACTTAAAGACGTTTACAGATGGTGATTTCCTGACTTCAAATGGCAAGTTATTCCAGAGTTTTGGGGCTGCACAAGCAAATGCTCGATCACCTAGCGTTATTTTTGTTTTGATAGATGGGATCTGTAGCAACAAAGTATCTCGGGAACTGCGCAAGTTGCGATTGTGTTGATTAGGTTTGAAATTCAACAGTTCTTTGATATAGGTGGGAGCTTGACCAAGAAGTGCTTTATATACAATCAGCAAGATTTTGAATGTTATTCTCTGGCGTACTGGTAACCAATGTAGATTTCTCAAAATTGGGGTGATCCAATTGACTTGCTACCATAACTAGACATAAACTTTAAGTTTAAACCCTAAACCCCATTAAGCTGTCGGCAGAAATTATTGTATTTCTTTCTTTTTCCACCCTGAATATCATGGTTGTAATTGATCAGAGTAAGCGGATGCACGGATCACTTTGCATCCACCGAGGAGGAGGGGTTCACCATGGGAAGGGACTCCATCTCTACCCTCAACGTCACCCCGCCCTCGGACCCCACCCAGTGGAATGAACCTCTCTACAGCCAAGATGAGCTGCTTGGGCTGGTCAGCAAGACAGGAGAGGTCAAAGGTCAAATGAGAAAGGTAAATCAATTTTTTTTCCAGCATATTGATTTTAGGCCCGTTTCGAGTACTAAATGTTTAATCAACTACCTGCCCGGTAAAGCCAGTAGTCAAATAATGAACTTGATAACCAAATACTCCATGACTCATTGGGAACCTGAGAACATCGCCTAAAAAGAATCTACCATAAATAGATTTGAAATAGAATTCGGTCACAATAATTCTACTTTCTAAGACATTGTCAAGGAAGTTTAAATAAATCAAATTCCCACCTTACCTTAACTTAGAAGCAAACATCTAGCTGGCTGATGAGTTTCATGAGTACCGAGCCTGCGCTTGATGATACACATGCCCTCAATCTTTAAATCCCAAATTCTGACCTCTGCAACATCGCGATCACGAGCTATACACATAAATACATGTGCGTACTAGGCGCTGATCAAAACAAGTTTGGCTCAAACCCAATGAATCAAAAAATGAACACTGTAATTGTGATAATATTGGACAAATTTTCCAATATAAATAATGAAATAAATATATATTATAGTATTTTAATTCATTTCTTCTGGAAAATTACGATCTAAACATGTATAGCAACAGTAATCGAACGAGCCTGGGCGGCCATATGTGACCCGGCACCACAAAACCAACAAAAAGTCGCAACCAGCGATTCTCCGTAATCAGCTAAAATGTCAATTTAGGTGAAAAAAATAGATTTTTGTTTTTTTGCATTTTCTGAAAGAGTGGTCTTTTCTGTACCTAGTATCAAAATTTGGAAGTCTAAAACATAGTAGAAGATGTGTTTTAAACGGTTTTTCTAGACCAGTTTTTTTCGCACAGCCTTCGGTCTCTTCCAAAATTTGATCACTTTTCCCGAGCGAAATTATTGTAGTCCGGAAATGGTCGGTCGTTGCTAACGGGTCGTGCTACGCGGGCTGTGATTGGTCCGTTATAGCAATCAGTGCGGCGCGCCATTTTGTTTGTATCCGCTTTCACATCCGAGTTCCAGATTTGCGTTTGTCTTATATTCTCCGTTAACGACTTCGAGTAGCTTGATTGTACATCACATATCCATAATTTGTTGATCAAGAGTAAGAACATTATTATATTTTATACATTTGAGAGTGACAAGTTGCGAAAAAGTCTACAACGTCGTTACAATGCCAGGTTTTGTACGTCAGCAGAGCCGTGGGATGGTACCGGGGTGCACCAACGCAGATGCCCGGGTAGCTCGGGCGGTCAACGAGCTTCCATTAATTATCATCAGGATGGCTACTGGAAATGAAAGAGCAAGTCATAGTAAAAATACTTTGAACCTCCTGTGAGAAAGAAAACAGTATGGGAATTAAGTATAAAGCAAGTTCATAATGTGGTTACAAATAATTGCCCAGATGTATACAAAACGAGATAGGTGACAAGCAGTGTTATGTAAGGGGGAACAAAAAGACTCCGGGTCCACCATGAATAGGCATTGTCTAGTGCAGGTGTCTCGGCACTATGTTGCAGTTCACTTAATCTGTCCAATTACAACTCTATACATTTACAACATAATAACTTTTGAAAGACTTAAGTCCACACATTGAAACCTCAGAAACATAATGAACAGACTATGTTTGACCATCAGGCCAAATTTCAGCCTAATCTGAAAATCTCTTCATAGTGGTTGCTATGGCCTTTTGATTCACCCTTCTATTGATTTCCCTGTGGTTTGCTTGCTCCGCATGCTTGAATAGCCCCAAACTTTAAAGCTCTCTTTCTCACAATTTAATACCAGTAACCTCCCTCACCAGCTCTTTTCACGCACTAAATTGAAAGGGTTAGAAAGCTTCAATTTGGACAAGTAATATACCATTTTAATGAGGAGAACTTCTTCTTTCATAATCAGATGAAATCAGGAAAATAATTTTTTGCGACTTTTTGGTGGTTTTGTGGTGCCGGGTCACATATTGAATTTACCCATGTATACGTATAATACGTACCGGTATACATCGGTACGTACAGTAAATTCATTGTGGAAGTTTTCGTGAATCGTAACATATTTAGACGAACAACACACGGCAAATCGGTAAAAATAATCATTTATTGTCAAATCGAAAACAGGAATCTTTTACAATTGCAAATAAAACAAGTTAAAGACGGAAATATGAATGTAAGTACTTCTTTTCTTCACAAATAGTTATGTTTAGCAGGTTTTATGCGAAATTAGTGCTGGGCCAAAGCAGTGTTTTCCATCAGAATGGTGGACGGAAATCCCCTGTGCCCAGCGCCGCCCACCGTAGCTATAACGCTGCACCTGTATTACTGACTAGTCGATTAATCGTCCCCAAAAATCACTGTGTAGACGACTACCAAAAAGGGGCTTTCAAAACAGGCCTTATTGATTTACTGGTACCGTAGGTCTAATATGAAAGGTTTAGATCTTATGTGATAATGTGAGTTCTTGGTGACATCTTTTTTAGATTAATTTTCATCTACTATCATAGCATCTCCACACCTTTGATCTCATTGTTTGCTACTGATAACACCTCTATCAATGGATCATATCAAGAACATATTCTCATATACTAGATCACCTTTTCTAAAAAGTGTGTCGCACTAGGAGGTCAATGATAATGGGAATAAAAACGGTAATAGAAAAGGAGCCTTTAATATTGTGCTTCAATGATTAAAGTAATTACTACAATTTCAAGGTCAATGTACATTTCAGAAGGTCACGTGTCTTCAGAACATTATGAGTGTGAAGCCTTTTATAGTTTTTTATTTAAAAAAAAAATCTTACATGCTATCCATGTTAACTGAATATAGCTGACATTTCGCTGCAACATTAGAGGAGTTGCCATCTAATGTCTGAAGAGATTTAAAGGAGTCAAACTATTGCGTTACCTATCAATTTCATTCTACTATCATACTGTTTCCATATAATATTTCTATTACTATGAGACTTTGTTTTGGAGTTGTAATGAGAAGTTGAGAAATGACCAAAAGAGTCGTGTTTTAAGCAAACATTATAATAGACCTTGCTATCATTATGATAGTCCATGATCTTGGTGGTACTGAAAGGGTGACTTTTTAACCCTCATATCACTAAACAGAGCCAGAGGAATCTCAAGTGTCACCTTCTTATGCCATCGAGCTGTCATTGTAAAGAGAATAGATTTCACCTTGCTGTGATTTTAAAGTGTACCAATTGCCAAGAAATATTTTATTCTGTATGTATTAGGGGTTCAACATTAGTCAAAATGTGACCCTGCACCACAAAAGCAACATACTGTAAGGTCGCCAGAAATGGCTTGAAAGTTCAGGTCTTATTCTGAAAGAGTAAACCCTCAGCTTTAAAATGATGTAACGGTATAGCACAAAAGGGAGGAGAATGCCCTGTTACAGAGAATATTACTTTAGAAAAAAGGAGTTTCAAAGCAATCTAACTCCTCAAGTATTGTGCAAGGTGACAAAGGGGAGATTAGACCTCTATAGAAATTCATATAAAGGGATTATCTGATTGTCCTGAAAGTTGGCTCACCAATTATGCATATGGCACTGGTTTTTTTAACATATACCAAATGTGTCCACAATAGGGTCTGAAATGAAATCATGTTTACTCACTTCAAACATGTATTTTTAGGATCAGGACTATTCATATTTTTGAGAAATGCGAATTTTGGACCTTAATCTATCTCCTTATTTATTCACTAGATATGAATACTTTGAGTTTTTACAATTTTATTGTGAACTATAGCATATCTAATAACTGTGATATAAAACTCATTTGCTATTAACTTCACCAACAAATATGTTGGTCTTTAAGAATATGATTCAGAGATTATTTATGCAAATTTTTGAGTTTCTATCTTAAAAAATACAGATTTTGTGTCCCTTGAAAGTAAAAAATAGCTCCAAATTAGGGTTTTGACAATAAAATGTTTTTATTTCAATAGGTAAAATGCTTTTTTCTTAGGTCAAACTTATTTTATTATAACAACTGATGATACAAGTTAAATACAGCCAAAAAAATTGGGGAACCAGTGCATTGCCTAATAATTTCCATATGTCACACCACTGGTGTTTCGGACGTTACACACTGTTAACATCATAACTTTATTCAAGTTAATTGCTTTTCTTTAGGTATTATTGACCTACATGTAAGTTACATTAATTGTTTGCAGAAAAATATTTCTTTAACATTTATTGAAAAACTTGTGCAGTTTTAATTAGTTTTTCACATATACCTAGTTTGTCTTCATCGAATACTCAATTTATGTAAGGTATACTGTTCATTTCAGGAACGTGTAGTTAAAAATGCTTATGTGATCTAACAAAGTGAAATATGGAGCTAATAGCAATAGTAGTCATCACAACTCCTAGAAAATTCACTTACAAACATACTCTCTTTTGCAGGTTATGAACAACAGTGTACAATATATGCTATAGTTTGTTTCGGATGTTACAAGATGTGAACATTTCAATCAGATCATCAATTTCTTCAAACTTTACAACATAGATGTTTAATCGGCTTGCTTTGTACTTTGCCTTAAACTAGATTCATGTAGTGTGTCATTCAATAATATCATTATCACATACATGTACAGTGTGTACAGTGTAAGCAAAACATTACAAAAATACTTTTAACAAATAAAAGTATACAAAAGTAACCCCAGCCATTTAAGTAATAAGAAATATGGGAATCCTAATTCATTGTACATCCCGATATTTTTGCATAAATTTGAGGAAGTTACTGTATCTTTAGGATCATGAAATGATCATTAACATGTACATTTTGTTATGAGGGTCAAGCATTTGAAAATTATTTGTACAATAAGGCTAGTACATTTGAGGGTAATTCATCCAATGAAAGGAAAAAATTATGAATTAATTAATTTTGAAGAGGCTACACCTTATTTTCATGTTCATGCTTAAATTACCCCCACAAATTGGCATTTTCTTGTCATTTGGAAATTTGGCAGATATACAGCTATGTCAACATTATGTTGTACAAGTTTCTATAATAGGTATCAGATACTGAT